TCCGCACCGTTGGTAACAGCAGTGCCAGGCAGACAAAGCTCGATATAGCCAATATCAGAGAGCCAAATGCCTTGGGTTTGTCACACACGCTTGGATTCAATGTCCCAAACGTAGTCTCCAGCTTCCACACAGTTACCCATCCATTGTACATACACAATGAGAAAATAATAATCCACTACATGATGGAGAGGTGCATGTGTGTGACGTGATCGCGTTTGAGCTCCACCGGAGTAAAGAGGAAAAGGATAAGTGCAAGGTCCAAGAGTATCCATGGAGTTTTCAGTGCACGTGACCCACATTCTTCCCTCTTCCCTCTGCTCTCTTCTGCTGTGACACCCAACCGAGCTTTTATGTTATACAACAAAGAGCCTGAGTTCACTTTAAAAAAATATTAAGTAAAATTTTAAATAAAACGGCAGTGAACATTCAGGTCAAGTGATGTGTTTACATTCCAGTTGTTTTAGCATTTTAATGGTCTACCTTGTAATTAAAATGACCTGGGCTCGGGTTGTTTGTTATATTTTCATTCGCTCGTTCGTGGACTTTTCTCAATTGCCAATCAATCAGCTTATTCAATCCATGAGCGCTCTCAATTATCGGCTCTGAAAATTGGGCTAATTGAGATTGGTAAAATTTGCCGGATACGAATATGTGAATACGAAAATGTGGAACTTATGGAGAGGTGAGGGCCGTCTATTTGAGAATCGTACCGCCGGAAATGATGGTGAACTAGGACGAGAAACAATTCCTTACCAATTTCACCTCTCCTCACTCCTCTGGTCGCCGAGTGCTCCAGAAAATGTTGAACGTGCTCTGGAAAGAGGCCAGCGAGAGCATTTAGGTTAAACAGAAACCGGCGGGAGGTACCCCAGTGCCGATCAAACGAATTTCCATACATGTTATTGGATGGTTTAATATGAAAATCTCGTTCCAAGTATCTTCAAAGAATTCTATCCAATATCTGAACGAGGGAGTTGGACATTTCAATGAGCGAAATAGCGGAAATTTTTGAATCCTCCTATAGGATTTCCGCTTTGTTTTTGAGGTCAGTTGAGATAGCGAATAGCACGACAATTGGAAGTGCCTCATGCGCTTTAATAATACCCTCAACAATTCACAAGCCACAGTGGATTCAGTCGGACCTGAATCCACTATTGTCCCAGGACAGTGCATCCAGAAGCATTACAAGTGGCGTAGGCGTTTATCCACCAGTGGCGTGAATCTTCAGGTTACCTTTGTCCAATGTCTGCCAGATGATCCAGCATGATCCCTAAATTCTTCTCTCAACAGGCATCACGCCATCCAGCAATTTAGCAAGAATCTCTCATCCCCATTGTCGCTGAGACAGAAGACGATTCCTTCTCATTTATTCTCCAAATGTCTCACCACATTGGAAAATCCTCGAGTTATCGCTGAGTGAATGCTCTAGGATTGTGCTTCCACAAAATAACGAAGAGTGAAATCATTGGCGCAGTTGAGCCCCCAGACAGTGGAGAATATAATCGCGGTGAGTGGGCGCAATGCATTCATACCGGCGACCACAGCCCGGAGTTCCATTCAAAGTTGAAATGTCAGGAGTGGCCTCTCATATTTTATTTCCATCACGAGTCGTCAAACTGCACCGAATTTATTCGCCTCACTAGCAATTTTTTGCATTATTTCATTTTATGGAGAAAAAAAAAAATTCTAAGCGCAGAGGCTCGACGGATTCCACTCACCAGAATTTTCAACGACAAGTTTTTCCCACCGGATGCTCCGACACTCTTGTTCTCAGTTCTTTTTACTTCAACAAATCAACGCTTAAATCTATGATAAGTCGATGTCTCTTTCGTTGCAGATAAAGAAACGAAGATAGGGAGAAATTTATCGCCCGCACGTGGTTGCGCGTGTCACAAATAACTTTTCGCAGACTCAACGACCCTCGGGGCGACTTTACACGTCGAATTTCTTGTCTTGATGACGTATCTGGTCTTTTAATGGATAGAGTTCCACGTGTTGTAGGTAATGCATTAAAAAAGACCAATTGAGGAAATTGGATGTTTAAAAATAAACTGCCATGCTTAATTCGACAGTGACCAAACTCGATTATCCCTCAAAATGCCTAAAAATTTTACCAGATCCATATCGACTAGGTAATTAACCTCTAACTACATCACGTAAAGCCATTTAAAAATAAATCCAGTTAAAATCGCAGTGGCACTGGAAATACGCTTCTAAAACAAGTCACATGCAATTTTTTCCACTCCATATCTGATGGAAATCAATGATATGTAACGAACCTCAGCAGAGTGGGTGTTCCATATATCTGAAAATAGAGGAAATGGAAAAAAAAACCAATTGGTGTGACAGTTTGACCGGGAAAATAGAATTTCCCCTCGTCACTTCCACATATTATGAATGTACAAAAAATTGGGAGTAAAAAACGTCATTGCAAAGTATTTGTATCACGAATATTCACTGTTATACTTTCAATGCCTGTGCGTGATTGGCAGGCAGAGAAAACTTGATGGTGAAACAATTCCAAAAAAAAATATATATATATTCTCACATACTGAAGTGAAACAGAATCATTTATTAAAGCAATTACCATTTATTCTCGTGAAATATTTACGGGGAAAAGAAATTTGACTGGGGGGCAAAAGGAGGAAATGATGGGTCGAGAGACCTCGTGACTTTGATAATGTATTTTAACAGGGTCGGAGGGGGTGGATGTGGGGGAACTTAAAGCAGTGCAAGCAAGCCACTGGGTATATCAACGCGTTATCGTCTGGTACGTGTGGCACGCGATAATTGAAATAATACTAAATAAGTTCCATAATTATAGCTTGCCGTGGGTCCGTCGTTACGTACGTGCAACCACGAGGCCGCATCGCGATGAACTTGCGCTTATGTTCGTGTGCGTATGATCGCCATGTACATTGGACTTTTGTAATTCACCTTCGTGCTTACCCCCTAGCTATACTCGCCCTTCGCGTACTTAATACTCTTATTTCTTTTTCCCCGCCGGTGAAATTCCGGACCGATGTGTCTTGAAATCTTCGTCGGCCTGTTTTTTTTTTTTCTGACTGATATATCGCCATTTTTTTTTCTCTCGCTCTCGCCCTCAATTGATGCACAACGGAAACTCGAGTGAACGAATTTACAACAACATTGGATGGGGTATGAATAATTATTAAACGTCGGAGGGGGGAGGGGTGAATATGTACACTGACTGCTCATATACATGACGCACCACATGGATTAGATAAATGACCAGATGCTAGCGGCGAGTTCGTCATAAGTGCAACAACCCGTGAAGCGCCACGGTTTATAATGAGATCACCAGGGAAAACAAAAGCTATGATAATATGCGACCGACACGAGTGAAGCGCACGCACTCGAGTTTCATGTCAACCTCTGTAAATTAATGATTGCGCATGACTTTTTAAATATAGTTTTTTTCCTTCGCAAAGAATACTGCTCTTTAACTCCAAACATCTTTTCCAATTTTGTCGCTGATAAAATTAATTTATCGTCAAGAAATCATTGTTAATTATTGTTATAACTGTTATTATATTTTTTTATTCTTTCTTTATGTTTGTCTATTATTTAAGTTTTATTTGAGTAATCTATAGCCATAATGTTGTTTGATAAATCTTCCGTTCCTCGTGATTTTGATGCTACTCTACTGCCACCTAATCCAGTGAAATCATGATGAGAGTAAAAAAAAACGAAGAGTCATTAGGAAAGGAACACGCTTATAAAATTAAATGAAAATAAGTGGAATTCTTCCAATTCCGGTGTCACGGTTCTAAATTTTATGGTCCGGTAGTAAAACTAAAAAAAATTCCAACTCGGAAACTTTTCGTACGAATTCAAGAGGAAAACAAGGAAGACTATGCACTTCCCCGAAAACTAGAGAGGAAAATATAAAAGACGTTTGGAAAGCTCTTGACAGTGACCATCCGTTCATTGGCGGCAGTGAGGACACGGCCGTTTTTAGAAGAATCCCTGAGACTAACCAGGAGAGTGGTGCGTGATTTACGATCGACCCAGTTTCCCATTCTCGACGACAGGACCAAACTCTCAAGTTTTTTTTTTCACCCTCCTCGAGGAGCACAAGCGAGGACAAAGGAAAATCGATTGTTCAATTTTTTTTCCTCGGCGAGCCGGTTTAATCGTAAAAAAAAAACCGCCCCCGCATATAAAAATTAATTACAAGCACGCGGGAGTACAGAGCCCTCCCCAGGTAATTAAGAATTTGCATCGTAAATCGAACATGAGGATTAACAGTGTCGAGGCCGGAGGAGTTTTCAAAAATTGTGTTGGAGATTGTAATGAAGTCCATTAAAAATACCTCTGACTACCGGCAATATGATCCCTCCCTCTAGCTGCGATATTGACGCTGTTATTATCCTCATCCGTGTTCATTTTTTCACAGGTATATCTGGTGTACAGTCGTAGATGGCTTCCCCGTTGGTTGCAAAGGCGAACTGTGCGCTCGATTACCGATTAGTACCGAAGAATCCTGATGCATAATGAACGAGAACGTTAGTACACTGGGCACTAGTTACGGTCTACATGAAAGGGAATAAACGATACGTCCTACATCGCTCCTCCCGTATGTAAGTAGTTATACAGAATGGCCAAACCGCCCCCGTGTAGCGAATTATTATCTCGCTGCATCATATTTCCCGGAAGCCCCTCATCCTCGCATTTCTCGGTTCAATAAAAAATAATTATCAACGCTCGTCATCAGCAGATCAAACAATATTTCAATAAATTCAACGAGAAAATAATATTATTTTATTATCGTACCATTACTGGCGATCATCTGGTCATAATTAACAATTGAATTCACCGAAATCATTCCTGCAAAAAAATACCAAATAATTAGGTACGCGATTATCATAATTAAAACGTAATAAACATCTGCAATTATCGTTTTTTTTATTTAACATTCAGGAAGATAAAAAAAAATTTCTTGAAGTACACAAATACAATTAAAATTTATGAGAACACTAAATATCATAATTGAGATGCTTAATTAATAAACTGTTGAGCAGCAACTGAAATTCATGAAAGAAGGGTGCTCCATATTCGATAAAAAGTGATTAAAAAAAAGATGAGATTAATGACTATTGATTTGGCATGAACCCTGAGATTATTCAATCACTCGTGTCTTTTCAAAAATCCAAAATAAAACACTGGCATTTCGTGGAGGCATAACAACATGAACACATTGGACCCCACGAGCGATCGGTGACCCCAACAGTTTGACCCTGGAACGGAGAATCCGAGGGACACGGAAGAATATCGCACGGAAATATCGTCGAGACTATCAGAAAGTCCTCCTCGAGTGTATATACCCCCGAAGCGATTATCGAATCGTGAGGCAGGTCGTCGATTCGGTGATCATTGGTAAACTCAACGTAAGATTCACCAGGTGAGATAATGTGGCTTATTCTCGGTCAAGTTTCACTGGGGGGCAATTCAACGATGCAGTATGCCTTCTTCGACAGCTGTATCTCCAACTCGTTTCGTTCCAGAGCACCATTTGATCCGCCTGGGGCTGTGAAATGCTCGATGATGCATGAAAAGGGAACCCCTACGAGGCGATGAGACCAGTTGAAACAAAAAAAAAAATACAAAGTACATATACAGATATACATGTAAAGCAATGATGGGATTCACCTTGAACGGCTCAGTTTGCCGCTTGATTAATATTCGTTGCGCTACGCGAGATAGATATTTCTCCTGCCTTTCGGCGTGACTCTATTCCCCTCGCACTTTGCACAAACAAACGAGTTGTGTTATTAATTGATTTATAACGCGCCATCTTGCCGTTGCCGAGTGACCGGCAATCATTAATTACTGGGCTAATTACCCGAGTGGCGAGACACACGGGGAAGTCTTGATAGAAAGCGCTCGCCAAGGTACATACTCGGATATTATTAGTAGCTGGACGATCAAATGACATCAAGATGCATTTTCTTCAACGTTTTATAAACATTCTGATTATTCTCCCGTAATATGGTATTAAATTAGCGATAATTACTCATTCTCGGAATTAATAATTAATTATAACAAATTTGAAAAATTAATTTTCAGGAAATAACTGAGCTTCATTCACATTACCCCTGGGATTTCCGTGACATTGTCGGGTTTTAATGAGAAAATTGTTTGAAAACTCCGTGGATATTAAAATAATGACGTATTAAAGTTGTAAATTAATACATTTGCATTTGTCAATAATATGCAAATACCAATCATTGAATCAATTATTTATCCTTGGAGATTGGCATATTATTATATTAATTATTATTACCAATATGAGATATGTTGGAAAAACTCTTGTTGGAAAGAGTTGTGAGTGTACCTCGTGTGTACTATTTCATGATTTATTGGAGAAAATCAAACAATATCCATCCGTGTTTATTAGCACGGCTCTGACGTATACAATTGCATCGATTGATTCGCGTGGGCAATCATTCAAGCGGAATTCCTGGGCTTATGTCCCCTTTTGTAGACTCCCGATGTTCTCGATGTCATCGAGCAACACATATTACCAAACTTTTTCAATTCCACCTGAATGTATAAACGAAATTGTTTTGTTTATTTTCCGTTGGGTTGGATAATTTTTTTTCCCCCCTTTCTAAAACCCCAAGCTTCAATCAATATTTGCTGTACCGCAACCGCGGGACAGCCAAAACAATAACTCGCGGGCATAACGGCCAACGAGATGAAAGTTCATAGGATGTGGGGAAGGATAAAAATGGGGGAGAAGGATGGAGATAGGATAGTACAGGTTGTGAATCTCTGTACGGTATGTGGGGGATGATAGGAATGCGTTATCACCGGATATCAGAATTGCAAATACTGGATGGTGCACACACGAGAAGTGGACCCTCGTCCAGCAGCCGTTTGCGAAGATCGAATGAAAACAATAAGTGAATGCCAATGCTAATACCGAGAGGGTAGGAGAACAGATAAGAAGGAAGATGAAGAGGGAAAAGTGTTCAGTGACTCTCATCATTAGACCAAACCAAATTAGTCAATATCCCGAGGGAAAAAAAGTGAAAAAAAGAGATTTCAGAAACTGGACTAAATATTCCCCCAGGGGCCACCAGAAGTCGTCATGGTACCCTCCAGGTATGACAATAACACCGAATAGACCAGTCCTGTTTTTTTAATTATGAATAACTTAATTTTTTATCTAATCGACAGATGGATCGGCCGACAGATACGACTCAATTCCACTTTAGTGAATATCCACATTATATATTTCCGTCTTATCTTTTTGACAGTTTTAATTTGTGGGTCAAATTAACTCCAGTGTTAGGTAAGACTGTAACAAAATTTTATGGTGAATTTAAGGACGTGAAATGGTCTGATGAAGCCGAAGCATCTGGCGCTATGAAGTGATGGCGTCTCCGAAAGTGTTTGAGGATGGAGGACGGATGGCATAGCCGAGGTGATAATAGCTGTTCTTTACGCGTCTCATCATTTCCGGGAGAAGCAATTAGGAGAGGGATTTCGATGGGAAAAATAAAAACGTCTTCCGTGAAAATTGGGGCATTTTTAACAGCTTGGTACAGTGATGGCCAGGAAACGAGTGGATGTCCTCGGATGTAAAGTTCAAGCCGAAGAATGGAAAAGTGGAATGGATGAAGAGAAAGACTCGAGTTACGAGTGTTTTACATTCCTGAAGTTTCCAGGCCGAGATGGACTCCATGAGATGAAGTGGGCAGCTATGCACAACAGTGACTTGAAGTAAACTTTTCTACGAGGACCCCCAGTGAAAGTCCCCGTGGGGGCATACATCAGGTGCTATGGAATTTCATACACCGAAGAAAGCTAGGAAATATGGCCAAAATTCTTCCAGTTTCGCTCGATTAATTTCCCAGAATAATTCTTAAACTTTCTCTTGTAACAGTGAACTTCTCGGTGTTTACCACGTAAACATGAATTGGTGTGTGCAGATATCGGGGTTCTGCATGCATATGAAAATCAACTCTGCAGAGGAATAACTCGTAGGCGTTTTGCTTGGGAATATCAGCCCCACCTACTGATCTAACGTTGCGATAGTCATCGACCTATCACGTGCAAACGCCGGCCTACCATGGTATTTATAGAAAAATTATAATCGACCAGCAGCTTCGGCGGCTAGATTTTACTGGACGGAAATGTCCGCGAGAGGCTGTCACCGCGGTGTTACGCTGTGTTACGCATGGTTCAGCTGACAATCTTCCAAATCTATGTATTTTTTTTATATTCATTTTAAATTCTTAAAACTACTCGTTTTGCTCTAATTACAATTTATCTCTATTTACAGTTTTTCTGCAGGTGTAATTTAAAGTATACGCACCGTTGAACAATTATGCTTTAAATTTTGAGTTAAAAAATTTGAAATTTGAACAATTCTTCATTTACAACTCATTTAATTTCTTCGATATGGCCCGGCAAAATCATCAAAGTGTTGAAAATTCAGGCGATAATTTAAGTTAAAATGCTGTCGAATTTTCACGATGCGCATAAAAATTGTAATTTTCATTGGAAAGTCAATTATTATTCAACCTGGAAAACCTGATTTTCTTGAACGTGAAATACTTAGATATAATTGGAAATTCCGATGACTTTGCGATTGAAATTTCAATATTTTGAATAGTACAGCCTACTTGAATCTGGAATTGAAATGAAAATTTGAAACTAAATTTGATTGAATATCTTGAGAAAATTGAATATCTTCAAAAAGTAATTATTGTAATTTTTCTCATGTTCAATGATGTCCTCTGAACCCGGAAGGGAGAATTTAATTAAATATTGAAAGAAATTACTTTATTTATCAGTAAAAAACAGAGGTAAATTTCCCGTGAATTTAGGGTTATGTACTTCAGGAAAAAGTTGCTCATCCCCACTGCACCCTTTCAGACTCGAGCTGAAATCTCTCCCCAAGGGATTTTCCTCGAATTATCGTAAAGTCCCACAATATCCATAAAACTTTCGCCATCCCCAGTCCTCGAGCCCGGCAATTTGATTAACGTAACGGTCATTCGATGAGAATTGAACCCCCATCGACGTAATTACCCCGGTCTCCACTAAAACTAATTCTTCACCCCAGTGGTGACAAAAGTTAGATTCCTTTTGCTTTGCCAAAGCGGCAAATGGAATTTGGTTAGCTCTGGTGCTCAGACATCCTGATGTATGATAGCCAGTCGCAAAAGGGGCGCCAGGGCACTTAAGGGTGCGGTAGGCTTTGGAAACCACCATATTTTTCACAACTCTTATTTAGTATGTTTTTACGTCACCTCCTCTCCCCGTTGAAAATGTTTTTTTCGTCGCACCCTCCACCACCACTTTCCTATTCTCTCTTTATTACCACTTGGTTCGTGATTTCGTCATGGATCCTTGACTCTGGTGAATACACAGGCTTAGCTAGAGGCCAAGTGCGGCTCATAATGGAAAACTTTGAGACGAAAAGAGAGGGATTGGAGAAAGCAACAGTGCCTGAATGCAACATTTTCCTCCAAAGTGGAAAAAATAAAAAATTGGCGACACGAGACTAATGGTTAGTGTTTCCCAGTGAAATAGCGGAGGGAAAAAATCATCTTTCGTTTCACTTTTGTATTTTTTATTGATGCCAGAGAGTTGATCGAGGGCGGTGCGGTTGAAAGAAGGGACTTTCTATGTGGGCGGTCTGGTAGGAAAACAAATTTATTCACCCCTTCAGCTAAACTGTTAATAATCACTCAGCATTGCCTCTATACCTGAAAATAAATGGCTGCTGGCAATTTTTCAAGAAATCAAGAGCCAATGTTCTCAATTAATCCGGTGGATTCAACCTGCGTGCCACCAGGATCTTGCAGCTACGATGGTGTGCCGTGGCCTCGAGGTTAAAAGCCGAGACAATGGAGAATAGAGGTAAATTTATCAATGAGATAAAGGAAGATAGGTGAACATGGAATATACTCTAGGATTCACAAAAAATCGGCAATTGTTCATTTCCCCTCGATCAACGATTCTTCGATTTTAGTTCTTACCTTGCAGTATAATTTCTCCATGATTTACAGGTCGTTCATTCGGTTGTGATTAGGGGAACCGATTTTTTTTTTATTTCCAATGTTTTCCATCAAATGCAGGATATGTAGCTCAAGGGCAAGTCGGCTGTTCTGCGAAATTGGCTCTCACGATGATGCTATAAATAACGAATAAAAATGACGTTCATTGATTTATCATTTCCAGTTCGCTGATGGTGGGCTCGTTTTTAGTAACTCACAAGTTTGTTATATTATAACGTTGGTTTAACTGAAGGCGAGATTAATACGGCACAACTCTCCAGCACGCGGAACAACGGCTCTTCGTGGCTAATAATCGTTTTAAGTCACGAAGAAAGCATTCGTGCAACACAGAGACCGAGGAGTTGATTGTCTTCATTGTATTAACTGTATGCCAAATAGACCCTAATTTACGTGACCAGAAGTTGTTTTGCTCAAATCATCGTTGGGAACACAAAATATTTCCACATTTCCCCGGCGCAAATATTGGAATAGAATACGGGCCAAAAATTTCAATAAACATTCCACCACATGAATTTTTTCCATTAAAATAAAAATTTTTTACCATGAAAAATCACGGAAAATACGATAATATTTATCATGAGAATGACGTTGAAGTGCCCTGGAGTACACCATGGTTATAAAAATACAATTCAATAAAAATTTCTAGTGGAAGTCCGCGAAATTCATCCATTTTTAGTGGAACATAAATTCTCAGAATTAAAACTAGACAAATATGCAATGTCCTTGAATTTTTTGCTGTCCGATAATTTTGGTGGAATAATTCCATTGAACAATTAATCATTTTATTGGCATTTCAGATTATTTTTTACTCAAATAATTAACGATTATGTATGAATATTGTCTTCTGCGTCACGAGAGCCGACAAAAAAAATGTGGAGACATCGCGTCAAAAGTAGAGGGGAAAAAAAATGTTGAATGGGAATATGAAACGGCGATCCGTTGTTGATGCCGGTACGTCTATTGTAGGGGCCACCTATCCCTCGCAATGTAATCTCAACCGTTCGGCCCTTGAGTTTCATTTGTTTCAGTTGGGGTGTACCGCGCACGCGCGCGACGATCGGGGAGAACGAGGTACTGCGGAAATGGCCGAGCCGTGCCGTGGGGGCGCGTGGCGCCGCGTCTGAATCTCAGCGTCGACAGTCGAAGGACGACCGCCGCGTTGTCAACAGTGTTTACGGTGCGATTCAATTCTTCACCTTATTATTAATTTTTCGGAGCTACTTTTCACCCCGCAAATCCACCATCGAATGGATTTAATAAAACACTGATAATCGAGGGAAAAGAGTGGAATAATCTCGAGAAATTAAACCATTTTAAACTAAAATACGGCATCAATCATGAGAGACAAGTGATCAAGTGTTCTGACAGAGTGGATTAATTCAGATGTTCTCTAAATTTAATAATATTGATATCAGTGTGATAATTGAAAGTGTGATAGGGTAGATCATTCTCGATTATAAATTCATTGAACATTGCGTAGGATGAATTGTTACAGTGAAAACAGCTCTTCCCACTATTCTTCGGGCTTAACGGACCAAAACAAAAGTTGAACAGTAGTCCAAAACAATTGGAAATAATACGATAAACAGCATACGGATTTACTTGGTCGTTCGGTGATCGCGCGAAGTGTTTTGCTGTTGTCAAGTGTTTTTGTTGTGAATTCGTAACCCAAGCGTTAATAAAAGGTAGAAGTGATAGTACGATGATTGTGGTGCAGTGATAATACCAGTGATATACCGCGTGAAATATTGTCATTAAAAATTCGATAACTAAAAGTGCATTGGATACTATTGAAAATGAAGCAGCCCATGCTGATTGCGGCGTTCGTCGTCATCCTGGGAGTCTCAGTAAAAGGTGAGTGTTGATATTATTCTCAAATCCTAGCTATGTAAGCACACATTTGTACACCGATTTCCCTACCAAATTTGTTGAATTTCATTCAACTATCGGGCTTCCCCTTTAGTAATGCGCCAGTAATGAAATATTGAGGAAAATTTCCTCTCAACACTCGTCGAAAATTCACTCGGCGACTGTATTACGGTGAAAAGTTGAAAAACTGTCGGGTGAGAGAAGCCCAAAGAGAACTAGAGAAGAGTAGGGGTTTTGAAAAGGCAGAATAAAGCCGAGGGTGTCTGGACCCGGGGAAAATTGTATCTTGCCCTTGTGTAACCGTCTTCAGCATGTCAGACTACGCTTTTACTCTGCTCTCTTTTTTTTTCCCTTCAACCTCTCCAAGTTCTGAGGCATCGAATTTCGGTCTCTCGCCCGTTGAAGATGTTAATTCTGCACTTCGTGCTTTACTCGATTATCTCAACAGTCGGAAAACTTTGTCAAGGATCTCGGGAACATTCTGTCTTTGTTATCCAACCTCAGCACTTGCTCAAAATAAATAAGTACAGGGGAAAGTTGAGGGCACACCTAATGCTCAAGATGTGCTTTATTAATCTTCAAGTGTCATTGGTATGCCTGTAGATAGTCGATAAACTCGACGAGTATAAAATTCATCGATACTGTCGATAGGAATAATAAGTTAGAAAGAAAGTTCCATTGTTCATAGTATTTTGTCGGATTCGATGTGTTTTCTATTCGCTTTGACGATGAAAATAGTTTCTCGTGTCGTACGTTCTGTGCAAGACCCCGAAAGCGACACACGGAAGGGAATTATTCACGAGTAGCCAGCACACACCCAGGGTAAAGCCGAGCTTTTCTCGGACGACAGGGCGACGCGCGGGAATAATTAATCGAAATCTATATACCCGTTGCACTGAGACCAAAGATAGAACACCGACTGTTACTGCACACTACAGTTGGCTATCTATATGCTGAAAGTATTTTCCATGGTGGCTTGTACAACCCCTCGGGGCCTATATCATCACCGATGAAATACAACCTTCTACATGATATATTCGTATTTCATATCCTGCATAATTGATATCGATGCTCGACGACGTGAAACACGAGAGGGTGTCTATTTTTCTTCTCGATAATACTGTGTGCAGAAGGTTGGCAGGTGAGCATGAGCAGGTGGTGTATTTTCAAGTTTAACACTTGACACTGACTTGTATATCGCTCTGTATTTCGATGTATTGCCATGTATATACATCAACGAGACAGTATCAAATGCCATACGCAATTCGTCCTGTTTTCACCAAGTGATTTTAAATCCAAAATTTCCAACTGATCCGGCGTATATACTCTGACTCCCCGGTGTAGCTGACTGTCAATCCTCAACGAAGGAATCGACACATTCAATTTAAATATGTAAAATACACCAGCGTAACTCCTAAGATTATTTTTCTTATCCTCTTTTTGGCTGTTGGTTAGCTGCTGCGCCATGGGCTCTATCAATTTAACTTCTTATTCCAGGGGAGAGGAGTTCGCCTGTCGAATGTTGGAGTTTTAGTTTTTCTTTTTTTTTTTTATTCTCAACCTATTCCCTCTTGGATGGTTTTTTTTACGATATACGCCTTCTCCATTCGATTTTTTCCCCTCCTGCATATCCCACTCACCGGAGGTCCCTGAAAATTTTATTTCAATTGAGAGTTGTTTTCCATTTCACGAGAGAATTTCTTGGTTCATTCATGAGCACACGAGAGCACAAATTTTAGCTCCTGTGGGATACGCATTATGCAGACTGTCGGTTGAAGTTCTCATTTGTCCCAGTCACGATACGAAAAACAGTTTTGGCCCTTGGAATCCTATCCTCGTCATAACTCGAGGGTCGTTTTATCGATTTTGTTTCTCGCGAGCACACGGAGTACAAACGTGACTCGACTCCAACTTCTCCATCACCAGAAGACAGTTCTCCATCTCGTTCTCATTCATCCCCTCATTTTTGCTCCGGTTTACCCGTTGCCCGTTGTTTGCGGACGCAAAAGTCCGATCCTCCTCAATCTTTATTCACACACACCCCTGTCCGCCTCCACGAGTCAGATGGTTCATCTACTTCTTTTTTATTTTTATTTCTCATCCGAGCGCAAGGTCGTATGATCTTCCTGGAATAATCCTCGAGATAATTTGTTCGGGCAGATACAGGCGTTAGGAGAAATTTTTTTTCTCTTCTCCCCCAGAATTGTTTTCTCTTGCTCACTCTTCACTGAATGCTTGAGCACAGATGCTACCACTTGCCAAAACACATTCCCACAGTGGGGTAAATACGTGTGGGTACACGATACAAGACATTATCACTTTCCTGCACGCTTGCTCGCCCCTGCGGCGCCGCGACGAGACGTCTCCACATCTTTCGTCAGTACTTCACTCACTCAAATACCTCCCCCTCCCCCTCTCACTCTATTCACTGTACAACGCCCTTTTTCAACATAAAAATACCGGGAAAACAGTGAACTTTTGTCTGTTTTTATGAATAAAATTAAATTTATAGCGGGAGAAAAGAATTTTCATCCCCCCGGAATTCCGTGAATTCTGAGCTGACGCTCAAATCATTAATAATTCCGGGGGAGTTGTGCTCCATATTACCGAGGTAAATAACGAGAAATACCTAGATGTACCAAGGAGGAGAATTTGCCCTCCCCTTACCCGGTGGTTTTCTTTCTCTTTCCTCAACTAACACTGGTCTGTCGTAAATATTTACCTCCACCCGGTGCCATCCAGAATCCACGTTCTCTTCCTACCGTGTTCTTGAGTACTTTGCCTCCACTCCAACTACCGCTTTTTGGTCCACCTCGTTTGTTTACGCAAGTCGCGCTAAGATATCTGGATTTGAATTTCTAACGAAATCGTCAAGAGTCCAGACTTTATACCCATCCCTCACCGGTTACTTCTCCTCATTCTTCACTCTCGTCGATTCTGATGGCGAATATTTCCTGGAATACATTCTCAGTATCTATCTCGAGTGCAAAGTCATCGACTTATCGACATTCACACACAAATGTAAAGAATTGCAGACTATCGGCAATTGGATTTGCCATAAACAGTTTGCGGGAGTGACGTGCTGATGAATCGCAATCGTTCTCTTTGTTCTACTCGAGGGATTCGCTATTCTTCGCACGTTTCCACCAAAGTTTATCTCCCCCTCCAATTTTTTTTTTCACATCAATACTTTCCCAAACAACGCAATTTTTCTTGAATAAATTGTTCTCTTTCTGTCGAATCTCTTTTTACTCTTGCATTTCTTTTTTTTATCGCATTGTTTGCCCCCTTTTTTTGTCAAGACATTGTCGTTAGATCTCGAGATTTCTCGTGCTGGCTACCAACATTTTGTTTAAACTTTGCCAATCTGGTGCTCGCTATACCCCCCCATTTCTTTTCCCCTGGAAAGGCCACCCCACTCGTTATTTCGTGCTACGTAAAACTTTTTCATGAAGGGAAACTGTTACTCTGAGTAGATTTACTCAGGGAAAATGAGAGAAAAAATTAACTCTTCTTTTTCTTCAGTTATATTTATCATTTATTTCGCGTGGCTTTCTACTCAAACAGTGAAATATAAATTTTTTACTTTAATATATTTTTTTACGTCGACGCGAAAAGTGATGCCTGAAAATTTTCAAAGTGCGAAAATTCTCGAGAGTAGTCATTATAAATCAGTAATACGAGCTTCACGTGTTGCAATAATTGCACTCTCCCTTCAATAATTCAATAATTACAAACCCGAGGTCTTGCATTTTGTGAAAATTACATATTTATGATAATCTTGGGAAAGAATCTTAATATACCTGAGCGAGGAGTAGAGCCCAGTGTTGCTAAGAATTCACCGATTCCGGTTTCGCGAGTTTAATCCTCCATTACGGTAATGGTGAGTTAATTAAGCCATAAATGCGCCACGTACAAATGCCAATTAAAGAGAAATGAAAAATTCCGAGTGTTATTATTAAATCTGGAGTCGCAAAAGAGGTCGCAGGTGAGACTAAATGATTTCAATAAATAAGCGCCATAAAACGGACTAGTGCTTTCTCCGAGGCTCTCGTATGGGGTTTAAACGCTCACCTCAGGCCATCCGATCATTACGGAAAATACCTCATTGACAGAGTTTGATGACTCTTATTTAATCGTTCCATCCGACTTTATACACCTCGTAAGAAAAACGTATCGTGTAATGTATTCACGCAAATGATTGGTGTACAGTCACAGTAGCTGCATTTACGAGCAATAAATAATAGACATGGGGGTAAATTAAACCCGTGAAATATTCGAAAGCGCGTAATGCCGTGTGCCAGTTGTTCGACGATAAGGAAACGATTGTTATGAAAACCTCTGAATCAACCGAATCAAGCAGTCGTTTACTCTAACTCGAATTTTATCGGACAAACTACCGTGAATAATCCATTAACGTCCGCCCCTTTTCTCTTGATTGTTTCTATGAATGATTATCGATATACAACACTCACTCCTCGACGCCAAGTTCTTATGAATGGAGATTTTATTGAAAAAAGTGTTTAATTGTCATCCAACTCTTACTTCCTGTTTTCAACAAGTCACTGTACCATAAATTAGATAATGCAGGTCGAGGGATATCTGCTATCACTTAACTAGACTCCACAATACCGATCAGATCGAATGCACGGGGATTGAGTGTCCAATGCTCACATTGAGTATTATTTCATGGAGATGGTCATATACTCTCTGTCAGTGTATTTTCCCGATAAAATTGGTGAATGTGTGGGTTTTGCCAAAGACCACATCCATATGTTGCATGGCACACCAGATGCGGTATATCTCGGTTTTGTGCGTATTGGCTCACTTTATATACTCGTACGCCAGTCAATTGTTATTGTACCCCTCGAGATTGCATTATATTAATCGAATTGATCCAACCAAACACGGGAATGCGAGTACATCAGTCATCTGCATGACGCTAATGCGGTTTCCAGCGAGAGTGATACGATATGTTGATTGAAATTTAAAAAAAAAGGCATTAGTAAAGTGAAATTCCAGGACCTCGGTGGTGTTCTAGGGAATTAACAGGATAATATATCGAGATTTATTAATAGATGTTGAGAATGTCGATGGGATTCTCGTGTTGGCACAACTATTGGCTCACCATGGATAAATTGAGGAGAAAAGTGTGGAGAGAATGAAAAAAAAAATAGAGAAACGAGACTTAGTCGAGAGCCCTGCAGCTTTATTTATCGTGGGTTTTGGAGAACAGAGAGGATAACTGTATGCCTTGAGATATCGCTAACACGCGCTATTCGCGACAACTTCATTCGGGTTGGCGCTTTCTTTTAAACATAACGAGGGGGATGAATACAGAACAGAGGGAGATTAAAAAAAAATGTTTTTTACGTTTCTCCGTTGGATTTTTATATGGCATCCGCTCTCGTGCCAGCCATCTCTCGGTTATATTTTATTTTCACTCGAGTGTGTATTAAAATAAACCGTTTACTAATCCTCTTTCGTGGAATTCTAACATGAAAATCTACCGAGATTACTCGGTGTTTTCATTCTACGTGTATGCAGCTGTCATCGAATGTATTGGAGTGCGGTTTAACACTCTCGACGTCTTCGCGAGAGTACCCATTATTTTTGGGGAATTTCGATGGTTTTGCTGGGGGGAGGGAAACGAAAAAGGACAGATCAACATCACGCGGTCAGTTGAATGATGAAGGGGTCAAGATGAAATGTCTAGCCTCCTCGTCGATTAATCCTCTTATCGTTCCACTAAATGGGCTTAACGCTGTACAAGTATTTATAAATTGACTTGAAATTGATCGTGTTCGACATTCAGATACACCCACGCACTCCTCGAAAGGAATTTTTAGAGATATTTTCCTTGTACTATCGAAATTTCGAAACCTCGATTTTTGTGAGTCGTTTAATCCAGCAATCAATTAACATGTTTTTTTTTTTCCCCTCTTGGACACGCGAGTTTCGCCTCTCAGCTGGATATTTCTTTATTAAACGGGCAAAAAAGGAGAATGAGTGGTGGGAGGAGGGGCAAAAAGAAATGATATAATTCACTGAAGAGAATAAAAGAAACGAGATCACGCAGAGTTCGTCGACTCAAATTTCTGAGCTCCTCAGTGCACTTTCCCTCTCGTTTGAGTGGCCACAAGGGGAAGACTAATATGGCGTCGTCGTACAGACGTCCAGACGCTTCTGACAGTTCTAATTGATCGAGCGAAGAATAAAAGAGGCGTGACGAGTCATCGTGATTCAACCCCATCTATTCAAAACGATCTTGGCTGATATATCTGGTATCGATGGCCAATCGAACTAATTGAATTTCCACGCCCGCGACACAATCACAATGGTGTCACCATAATAAACTCGTTGACTCGACAATTCTCCGATTACCGCCAATTGGATATTTTTGCCGACAATGTGAATTTCTTCTTGACAATTATCGCAAATAATGCTGAACGCTTGAAATAATAATTCAATTTTGATTTCCTTCTTTACACTTTGTTTCAACAGTTAAGTCTGGATATTACCGATCGATCTATCATAATCGAGTAACGCCCCGATAAGAATCCTAATTAAATTTCCGGACTCGCGCACTAGTCACGAGATACTACGTGCTACCATTGAAAATCTTTAACTTCACAAGTCTCTCCGCACCCTTCCACTTTCCGCTCAAGAAATTTCGCTGTAGTTGAAGATAAACTCACAACTCGTGTCTCAACAATTATCGAGATATTACTCCACCAGTCAAAATACTTGACTTTTTAGTCGTAGAAGTTATGATCGGGGTTGATTTTCATGGCCGCATTATGAAAGGATAAAGAATCAATGACTCAGATGACTGGTTGCGGCTATCGGACTGTACTATCAAGCGATAAATCAAGCGGCGGCTGGTATGCAAATACAGATCGTATGATCGAATTGCGTCGCGTCATGGTGGACATGCCGTCAAAGAGGATAGAAATAAATAAAGAAAAGAAATGAAATAAACGTGATTAAGGAAAGGAAAATAGTGTGAGGGCGCCGGAACGTGCATGGAAAATGTCGACAAGTGCCCAACCAACTGATAGGGACAGTAACGACTGCTTCCAAGCGATAATATAGCAATCCACTTGAGAAACTTTCGAATGATGCGCTCCTTCGAGACAACATCAACGGCATCTCATCACCTCGAGAAGGAATGGTACATCACACCAGATGTAATGACGTTTGAGGCCTCAATTCAGTGTGGTTATAGTCATAAAGCGGTTAGCAAACAGACGCAACAGATGCAGGTGTGATGCTCACATTAAAGATACATAGGTGGTTGTCAGAGGGGAAAGATATATAAATGCGTTGAGTGGTAACAGTAAGATGAGAGCATTTGCATTATCTTGTCTAGGCCACAATTCTTGAAGGGGGAGGTGAGGCAAAGCTGGAAATTACTGCATTAAACTGATGCCATGAGAGAAGAAGGAGGCACATGTGCCCATACCAAACTACTAGGTGTTTCAACCATGCCACACTACTTGCCAGGCGTTTGCTCTGTCCCAGAGAACATTCCCAGGGTTCCCATATTATACCAACTTGCCAAACTACCTAAAATCCACTCCTCCCCCTCACCTCATCTCACACGCGTGTACATACGTTTATACACTGATGTAAACGCCCAGCTCGAGCGAGCCGTGAGGCCTTGTATATTCCTCGGATATCTCTGATGCTCCTCCGTCTTCGTTATCCCCATTACCCAGGCATTGGTGGGAGTGCTTGAGAGTCGCTAAATATTTCACCAAGCATATCCACCATACCTGAGATTATTCCACGTCTAGACAGAGAACCGAGGGGGATACTTGAGGGGAATTACAGTAATGCTCCATATACAACATGACCACTGTCGTTATCATGTTTCCAGGTGTTTTTATATTCTCTGTTTATCTCGTGATGC